GTTTGTGGAAAAATCCTTTTATCATTTAATTCCATTTTTCCTTGAACTTTTTTAAGTCCTTTCATATATAACCTATAGTACATATGCCTTGATAATTATAATAAACATGTATGTTACTGGTTTATGTACATTCTTGTACTATATTTCCTATCTAAAGTCTACTATCTAACAACGTATAATTTGATTTGTAGGTAGCAGCATCCAACTTGTGTATTGCATGTCTCTTGAGTATTGTAACATTTTCAGTTGAATTTTCTTTAGAAAATATGACTGTGAAATGAATCATGGCTTCCAAATACAGCAACTCCAGGGTTAGTGATAGCAATAGCAAGAAGCGAAGGAGAAGTATCAATTTGTAAAGTGCAAACTCAGTGAATGCTGTTGCCTGTGATTTAAGAAATGTCACACTTGACAATCATGATTCCAAAAACAATGAAAAAAATTCTCCACGCAAAGCTACAAGCCAAATGAAAATGCAAGAGGGACCTCTATTAGAGATGGAGAAACTGCTTATGACTGCTTATGATGTGGAATGAGGACCAAAAAAATCTCTCAGCAAGTTGACGCGATTGCTACGTAGGCACGAAGCTGGATGGAGATGCTTAAAGGAAAAGCACCAGATTATGATATGGTGTTTGCATGTCGTCCAAATCACATTACATCTTCACAGAACATACGTGGATGTTACCTATGACTGTGGGGGCGCAATGCTCTAACATCAGGTTTTCATTGGCCCAAGTGGGTCACATGGCTTAGCAATCGTCTAGTTTCTGATTGGTCCACGTTCTAGTCACATGCTCACCCTTAGCACATGGGAGTTGGAGCTGCTCGGTCCAAACTTGGTGGATTCAGAGATGGGGAACGACGGTGGGCCGTAAAAGAAAAATATGAGAGCTGGTTCCATGCTTCCAGAAGTCAGGGAAATGGATGCTGAGAGGGCAAGAAGGGGTTCCTATTCATTATCTTCCACTTTTGTACTACAGAAGGGGCAGGGTGGGCAGGTAACCCCACCAGCACTTACTCAAGCACTTCTTGGAGCTTGGAGGCCTGACAGCTGTTGTTCTTTGGGGACCTGCCACTCAAGTGAGGTCCCCCATGAAACTAAGGAAGAAAATCCTTCCCCAATCAGCGGACTAGCAGAAAGAAGACAAGTCGATGGCGGAACTCCAGACTGCTTATTCCCCTTTCTACTACTTCCCTCTGACCAAAAAATAGTCTCATGAGAAGGGGGAAATTCCACCCACCATCCAGACCAACAAAAACCGAAACATTCTGAAATATTTAGAGCCGAACAGAACCCGCGAAACCACCCCAGTTCTATAACTTTCTCTTCCTCTTCCATTTTCATCTGCTGTTGTTGTTTTGTTTTAAATTGGGGGTGCTTGGCATCCTTATGAAATTTTAATTACTAAAGCAATTCCAAATATATTTTTATTGTAGAAAAAAGCCAACATGATTGGCCTAGTCGGCAGATCTGCACGGGCCACCGTGTGCCAGACCCAACTTACCCCTGTGCCTCCCGTCGCCCCCAATTTAATAAATAAGGTCATCTCAAACACTGACAAGTTTCACAGGGATATAAAACAGAAGTATGAGAACAAAATGACTTGGGGACCTATTTTGGTTTTACATATCTGAACTGTATTTTGTAAATGGGTAATAAATTCACTTTGGCTCAAAATTCAAAGGATACAAAATTTTGGACAAATGAAGTGTTTTTCATCTCACAATAATTTTCCACCTCATGTTGGCACATTACACAGGGGGCTCAGGAAGGTCTCTGCAGAGGATAAAGGGACATTTGAGCAGAGGCCTAATGGAGAAGGAGGCAGCCATGCAAATACCCTAGGGAAAATGTCTTAAGGCAGAGGGAACAGCCATTGCAAAGCTCTGGAGGCAGGATCAAACTTGGTATATGCAAGATGAGGCTTGAGACCTCTTGTTAAATGCTGTGGAGTCTGTTCCGACCCACAGCGACCCAGTATAGGGTTTCCGGTTTCCGAGGAGCGGCTGATGAGCTTGAACCGCCGACTTCACGGTTCAAAGGACTTTACAGTCCAGTGCATTATTAACCCACCGTGCCACCCCAGGGCCTCCATGACCAAGAATTCCTTACATTTCTGTCCTGTATCTCATTGGTAATTAATGGATGCAGATCTTTTGCTCTGCAAGAGTCATTTCTGACACATAGAGACCCTGTGAGACAGAGTAGAATTGCCCTCATAGAGTTTCCTAAGTTGCAATTTTTAAGGGAGTCCTGGTGTGGCACTGTAGGATAAGCATTGGACTACTACCACAAGGTCAGGGGTTCAAACCCACCAGCCACTCTAGGGGGAAAGATGAGACTGTTTGCTCCTGTAAAGGGCATGATTCTACTGTTTTACTTGATGACTCTGGAAATAGATCACCAGCTTTCTCCTGAAGAACCACTTGTGAAGTGCCATCAAGTCAGTTCCGACCCATAGCGACCCTGTATAGGGTTTCCAAGGAGCAGCTGGGGAGCTTGAATCACCGACACTGCCGTCCAGTGCATTAACCCATGGTACCACACCAGGACTCCACAAAAAACCACTTGGGTGGGTTCAAACTGCCAACTTTTTGGTTAGCAGTAGAAACACTTTAACTATTAAGCTCCAAGGGCACCTGTTTCTGCATGTATGTGTTGTTGTTGTTGTTATGTGCCGTGGAGTCGGTTCCGACTCATAGTGATCCTGCACAGGGTTTCTGAGGCTGTAAATCTTTACAGGAGCAGAAAGCCTCATCTTTCTCCCACAGAACTGCTGGTTATTTCGAACTGTTGACCTTGCGGTTCGCAGCCCAATTCGTAACCACTACAGAGCTCCTTCTGCATGTACGTACCTCTAGCAAAAATATGGTACCATTGATGTGTCCTGGATTTTTCTCATACCATACATATCATTACGGTAACTAACCTGTTGGTATTTTTTTCCACTCAACTATATCATAGCGATCGCTTTCATGCGAACCACACACTTCATTCTTTTTAGCTGCTGCTGGAGGAGGGACAGGCAGTGGTGGGTTAGCTCTCCAGTCTCCTTTGATGCTAGCTCTCCAGTCTCCTTTCAAGTTGTTTCTGATTTCTTGCTCAGAGCATGGAACAAGTTCTTGTGTCCATGGAACTTTTCACTAGTTGTAGAAGTCTGGCTACCTCCTTTGTATTTGACAGTGAGCTAGGAATGGTTTCTATAGTTTTAAAAGATTATAAAAAAATAAAATGAAAAATAAAAAGAATATGCGAAAGAGGCCCCATGAGACCCACAAAGCTTGAAATATTGACTATTTGGATCTTTACAGAAAAAGTGTGCTGGCCTTTGCTCTAATATAGGTGGCATCCAGAAGTGCCACCCTCTCATTTCACAGATGGGAAAACTGAGACCCCAGAGAGAAGAAAAGATTTAATCAATGTCCCCCTGAACTAAGGTTCTTATTCAATTGCACAAATGTTGTAGACTGCTTAAGGTTTTGAGTGTGTGTGTGTGTGTGTGTCAGAGGAGGGTGGGTTAGGGTGAAATCCAGAAATCAATCAAGTGTGTACCTCTGCCCCCAAAGAATTACCAACCAGAAAAAAACACATGAGGAATCAAATAGAACTTAGGTGGATCAGAATTCAAGATCGCCCAGAGTAAGGTGGAGAAGCAGAGGGGGTTACTCTGATCTTTATAGAGCATTCCTGTCAGAGTTTCGCTTATAAGGACGAGGGGCGCCCAGGTGAAGGAAGACCATCTGCTGGGTCCCAATACATTGTGGTTTTTCATTCATATCTTGGGGGCTCAAGCTAGAGGGCCAAAGTTCAGATGTGTTCCCAGCCTGCAGGCCTCAGTTTATCCAATTATACCCAGGGAGCGCCTGCCCCTAGGCTAGGCACATCTTCCCGGGACCTAGTGGCTCTTTCTGGGAGACGAGTAACCTCGAGCTGACGTCACTCGGGTGGGGCCGGCGGGACGCAGCAGAAGCCTCGGACCGTGTCAGGACTCAGTACCTAGCTAGGGCTTGGCGAAAGGGGCTCCCAGGAGCGGATATCTAGGAGTCTTAGGAGCTCTGATACCGTAATGGTTACGAATCAGGAGGCGAACCGCAAGGTCAGCAGTTCGAAACTACCAGCTGTCCCGCCGAAGAAAGATGAGGCTTTCTGCTCCCGTAAAGATTTACAGCCTTGGAAACCCTGTACAGGGTCGCTATGAGTCGGAACCGACTCCACGGTACATCACCACCACCACCTACCTCTAGGCCCTTAAGATTGCTAAAATGATCCCTCCGTTCTCCGCAGGCGAAACTGAGTCACGGTGGGGTGTGCGTAGGGAGCCCGGCATCCTATCCTTACCCTGGACCAGTGCCGCTGCCCCCACCCCCGTCCGCCTTCCCAGCCCCCACTCCCATCCTTACCCCACACCCCGACCCTGCGGCTGTGAGTCAGCGGCCGGCCGCGCCCCCTCCGCCCACTTCCTCCTTACCTTCCCGCGGCGGGCGGGGCGGCAAGGGGCGGTGAGAGGGTGGGACCCTACCCACCCATCCCCCTCCAGGGTGGGGGAGGTGTCCCACACGCCCCCCCACCCCTCCCACGCCCGTCACCCCTTATAAATTGGCTGAGAAGACACTGGGGTCTCTGCAGGTGGGATTAAAGGAAGATAATTCGAGGGGCTCTGTGCTTAACCAGAGGGTCTGAACCCTTGCCCCTCAAATTTCGAGTAATGAGGAATGAAATGGAGAAGTGCTGCGGAGGCTGAGAAGGAAGAAATTGTGCCCTTATTTCCATACTAGGTGTGAGACCTAGGTATCATGGAAGGATCCCTTTTCCCTCTACCAAGCTCCCCACATAATTTGGGGGTGTAACACTAAGCTATCACATCGAGGACCAGGAAAATAGCGGAAGTCCAAGGGGCAGTGTTGCCCTTTTAAGCTCTCTCCACCCCCCCATCCTAGAGGAGGACACGGCCCCTTTAAGGCGCGGGGCATTGTGGGTACGGGGAGTGGAATTTTGGAACGAAATGTAGAGAAGTACAGTAGTAAGAGTAACATTGTAGCCGCTACCGGCCGAGGGGGCGCGCCGGGGAGGGGACGCCGCACCCCGTTTCTGCCGCAGGGATTTTTCCCCCCTATCAGACTCCGAGGGAGGAGGCTCTGGCCCCAGTCCAAGCCACGTTCCCCCCCAGGAAGCCGGACTCTATGGGGCGGGACCCTGGGGGAGACTGAGCAGAACCTGGAGCCAGTCCCGAACCCCTGAATCTCAAGCCAGGGGCGCCCCGGGAGCCTTCACCCCGTGGGCGCACCGCCCGCCCGTGAGCAGCCATGAGGTGAGCGGTGAACTACTGCCCGACCCTTCCCCGCCAGGCGCGGGCTCCCCGCCCTGCCTTTGTCCCCCCTCCCCCAGCCCGCTCGGGGCTGAAATTTGGGGACCGGGCGTTGGAAGCCTGAGTCTTGGGGCTGAATCCCCTTAGACGATCTCCAAATATTGACCACCTCCACATGACTTTTAAGACTCGGGGTGATGCCAGTGAGGTTCTCCTGGGAGCTCCCAGATTTGGGGGCGCTCCGAAGACTCCCGAATTTAAGACTTTTAAGGGGACCTTCAAGTTGGCAGATTCTTTCCACATGGATGCCAGGATTTAGACAGAAGGCGGAGGACCAGGTTGGGGCTCTGAGACTTGGATGAGAGACTGAGACATAGATCCTTGTTAGCGGGGTCCCATTTTACGTGACACTAGAAAAGTCTCCCCATGTGGAACCGTGCTTTCTAACTTCAGGGGTACTTCTTAACGCCTAATTTTGGGAGTTATACTCATTCTTTTTGGGAGGAGATTGGTGCCGACGGACTGACCCAGACGCAACCTCGAGGGTCTGGTTGGGACGCCCCCTCCTCCACCTCTCCGTACCCACAATCTTCCCGATATAGGCCGTGCCTAGGACCGTGGAGGGCGGCTCCCCGGCCCACAGCCAGCAGGGCGGCCCTTCTCCCCCACCTGTGCGGCCCTGGGGAGGGAGGGGGCGCGGCAGCTGTGAGAAGGAGGGGGCCTTTGTCTTCCTGACTCACCTGTCGAGACAGCTGGTGTGGAGAGAGCAGGCGAGGAGAGCGGTGGACCGGCTGCTCTTGCCACCCCAACCCCTCCCTCCTTCTCGCTGAGCCCTAGGGAGCTGTGGGGTTGGAGGAGGGGGTACTGGAAAGCTTCAAGGTCATAGCCCACTCCCCCTGGGACTTGGGCTTCCTAGAGTTTTACCTTTCTTCCCAGGGGTTTAATCCTGGGGGGTGAGGGGCCCAATGCAACCAGGGATTGCATCTTCTTGGGGCCTCCCCTGAAACTCTTGAGCTCACCTTAGGGCGGCGCCAGTGCCGGAGCTGGGGCTAGGGGGAAGGGACCTACCCCCACCCCCTCATAATCTCTCCCCTGGGGCTGGAGCCTGACAATACTATATCTCCCTTCCTCCACTCTCTGGGACTTCCTGCCCCATAGCCCCCTGCCTAAAGGGGAAGGCCCCAGGGGACCGCCGGGGATTAACCCCCTGGTGCCCACACCCTCCCACTTCCCCTATACCCCAGCTTCTGATATGGGGTGACATTCCTTTTTAAGACTGTTTGAGAACTCCCCTCTCCCCGCTTGTTCCTTCTGCTGGGAAAGGGATAGTTGGAACGTTACAAGCAATAGGGTCACCCATAGACACCCTCAAGACTTCCTGCCTAGCTCTCCCGCCCCATTGCCCCATTACGGCAACATCCCTTGAGGTCTGCCCTGGAGAGGGGGCAGTTTGTGGTCTTCCCTCTGGGACAGAACACGGTTCTTGCACTGCCCCCAGCCCCGCCTCTCATCCCCCCCCTCCCCAGGCTCGTTTCCGGTCCCAAGGAAGGCGGATGGCGGATGTCCGAGTTAGTGCAGCTTTTCTCGCAGTGAGACCGTAAAAGGGCAGGAGCAGCTTCTGGGCCGGCCTCCCGCCCTCCCCCCAGCCCTGAAGCCCTGGCCCTCTCTCTGGGCCCCCCTCGTGCGGTGTCCTGGTCCAAACCTCCCGCCTCTTGGGGGCTGGGCAGAAGTTGAACCTATCCCAGAGAGGGTCACTCCCACCTCCTGAGGGTCTCCCCTTGGGTGACCACACCCACTTTTCTGGTCTCTTGCTCCCTGGTCCAAGATAGCTGAGATTCTGAAGACCCTTATTCCCAGCTGGGGAAACTGAGGCTCAAAGAGAAAACTAGATGGAAAGCCCCTAAGTAAATCTTAGGTAGTTGCGGGGGTAGGGAAGGGCTGGGATCCAGGTCTCTAGTTTCTGACTGGTTAGGCTGGGAACTGTCATGGGGGCAAGTTGGAAGAGAGGATGTTAAGATGGAAAATTACAAGATATGCAAGATTTAGTTCATTTTCTCAGTTTGACAAATATTTGTTGAATGTCTCCTGTGTACAGTACTCTGAGCTGGGGTTCTGGGAGGGATTCAGAAGAAGTTGAACCCTGTTGTTGTTTTCCTCATCCAATAGTAGTAATTATTGGTACAGGCAGTCCCCAATTATGAAATGCGATTTACTCCAGTTTACACACAACTTCATTTACTGGTGGGCAACAGCTCTAATCTTGGCTTGTCCCTTGTTATTTAAATTTGCCCACAGTTTGAAATTCTTCAATACAAGCACTTTCATCTATTCCAGGAACCATTTGTAAGTCACTGAACAGGCTTTGAGCCTTTTCTTACTCTGATTTACCTCCAAGATTAATTTATAGACACATTTAAGGTTCAGTAGGAGTCCTGGAAGGAGCTCTGGTAGCTTGGTGGTGGTGGCTATGTGCTGCCGTGGAGTTGGTTCCGACTCACAGCGACCCTGTACAGGGTTTCCGAGGCTGTAAATCTTCACGGGGGCAGAAAGCCTCATCTTTCTCCTGCCGAACAGCTGGTAGTTTCGGACTGCCGACCTTGCAGTTTGCAGCCCGATTCGTAACCACTACGCTACCAGAGCTTGTTGTTGTTGTTGTTAAGTGCCATCGAGTCGGTTCCGACCCATAGCGACCCTGTACAGGGTTTCCAAGGGTGTAAATCTTTACGGGAGTAGAAAGCCTCATCTTTCTCCCGCGGAGCGGCTGGTAGTTTCGAACCGCTGACCTTAAGGTTCGCAGCCCGATTCGTAACCACTACGCTACCAGAGCTCCTTCGCTACCAGAGCTTAGCAGTTACTAATTGGGCTGCTAACCTAAAGGTCGGCAGTTCGAAACTACCACCTGTTCCGCGGGAGAAAGATCAGGCTTTCTGCTCCCATGAAGATTTACAGTTTTGGAAACCCTGAACAGGTCGCTGTGAGTCGGTTCCGACTCCACGGCGCATTAACCATTACCACCACTAAGTAACGGAAGGACCTCTGGTACCGTAATGGTTACAAATCGGGCTGCTAATCTCAAGGTCAACAGTTAGAAACTACCAGCGGTTCTGCAGGAGAAAGAGGAGGCTTTACAGCCTCGGAAACCCCGTACAGGGTCGCTATGGGTCGGAATCCACTCAACAGCACTTAACAACAACAACTAACTGATTCCGTTGAATCCTCACTACAGTTCTAAGAGATCGATACTATTACAGACCTTGCATTGTACAAATGGAGAAACCGAGACATATTGAAGCAAGGAAATTTCCTATTAAAGTCAAACAGTTTGGATGTGGCCTTATCCGAATTTGAACCCAGGCTGTCCTCCAAATAACTATGCTATTAAAGAAAGTGGAAAATGATGTTTTTAAGTTCGAGTAATATACTTTTGCTGTGGGGACACATAAGGTAAGGTAAATAAGCAGAAAGAAAGCAGGGTGAGAAACTATCTTCCTGTTCATTTATGAGAAACAGACCCATGGAGCAGAAAGAAGTAGAATAAGGCCATACAATCACCAGAGGCAGGGCAAAGACTCTTGGTATGGTTCACTATACCGGGTTGCTTCAACTCCAGGAAGATTTGTGATTTGGAAAAGGTTGTTGTTGTTAAGTGCCGTTGAGTTGAGTCATTTCCAACCCATAGCGAGATCCTGTATAGGGTTTCCAAAGAGTGGCTGGTGAGCTTGAACCACTGACCTTGTTGTGGTTCAAACCAACTTTGCAGTCCAGCAAATTAACTCACAGAGCCACACCAGGACTGGGAAGAAGGGTAAGGGTGAGTATTTGGAAAGGGTGAGGAATAGGGTCATGTAAAGTGTCTATGGGGTAAGTCCTGGGATGGGTGAAGGAAAAGGCAAGACTCTAGTCTATAAGATTTGGGTAAATCAGTCGATGTGCTTGATTACTCTCAGTGATGGGAGGCTCTCTTCTGTCAGTTCCCATGCATGTTATTGCTGTTAGGTGCCGTTGGTTCTGACTCATCGTGACCCTGTATAGGGTTTCCCATAAAGCTGTAAATCTCTATGAGCCAAAAGCCTCATATTTCTCCTGCAGATCTGTTGGTGGGTTTGAACTACTGACCTTGTGGGTAGCAGTCCATTGTTTATTCTACACTACCACAGAGGGTCCTAAGTTTATTCCTTATAACAAACCCAGTGGCTTCCAATGTGAGAAACTGAGACCCAGAGAAATGAAGCCAATACAGCAAGGAAGTAACTTGAACCTTGGAAGCATCCAGTCTTGCTACGGTTTTCAGGAATGTGAGGACAGGGGTACAGTCAATCCCAGGCTGGCTGGGGTGAAGACTCCCGAGACAGCTCTAGGGGTGCCAGGCCCCAGGAGACCACTTACTCTGTTTCAGTCTCCCCCACTTCCCAACTATGGGGTTTTCTGTTCTGTCTTGTGCTTAGTTTATATCGTTTTTTTATGTACTTATATAGTGAATTGGTTTTATATAAATAATACTAGCCCAAAGGTGGTGGATGGGGATCGTGAGAATATATAAACCAATCAAAGGGGGTAAATGGTGTGAAATTTTCTCCCCACCGCAGTCCCACCGCAGTCCCCTCCATGACAGCCACAGGCCAGTCCCCTGCACCTCAGCCTTCACATCTATCACCCTTCTGTGTGTCGATGTATTTATATCCTCCTCACCTTTTTTTTTTTTTAAATCCTCTGAGACATACCACTTTGTGCCGTGTCTTTTTTAGCTTCTTTCTTATCTTAAAATGGGGTTAAGAACTGAACCCAGGGAGAACTTAGATTCAAATCTAAGCCCCTCTGCAGACTTGCTGTGTGACCAGGAGCAAGTGTCTTCACCTCTCTGTGCTCTTGTTTCTTCATCTGTCCAAAAAGGTGTCCGCGTCCATGTTCTACTGAGTTTTTAGTGTGGACCTGGGAGCACAGTGCCTGGGACACAGACTAATGGGCCCTGTCAGCTGCCATTGAGGATTTGCTTGTTTTTGAGATGTTTGTTGATACATGACCACCTGCTGTGTGTAGAGTAGACCTGTGCTCCATGGATGGGGGTTGTGTGGTGCTGTGGATTAATGCAACAGACTGCAAAGCCCGTTGAACTGCAAGGTCAGTGGTTCAAGGTCGGCACTTGACAACAACAACAATCAGAAGACTGCTAAGCACCCCTGAGTGCTTTCAAATCACCAAGCTTTCAGTGTTCAATTGAGCACTTAACCCCCTGTGCCAACAGCTATTAAGTACTTTACTATATGGAGTCCTGGTGTGGCACTGCGGGTTAATGTGCTGGACTGCAAGGTCAGCGATTCAAACTACCAGCTGCTCCACGGAAACCCTATACAGGTCGCTATGGATCAGAACTGACGACAACAACAATATGGAGTCGTGATGTGGCACTGTGGGTTAATGCACGGGGCTGCAAGGTCGCTTTGAACAGCAACGTCAGCGGTTCAAGCTCACCAGCTGCTCCTAGGAAACCCTACACAGGGTCTCTATGAGTCAGAACTTATTCGACAGCCCTTAACAAACAACCACAAAATGTTCTGGACACTATAGATTATGGGGACAAATCTCCAGGCCCTTGGGGAGCCGACATTTTGGTGGCCAGAAGCAGTCAGTTTTGTGTCAGGCAGAGCTGGGTGCTATGAAGTGAGACAGGGAGGTACTGTCTGAGCAGAGGTCCAGAGAAAGTGAGAAAATCCTACCTGGAGGAAGAATGTGTGCTTAGACCCCCGAGGCACTATTGAGGAAGCAACAGCTTGGAATCTGGTGGGACAGGAACCAAGGGGAGGAAAGGAGAGATATGTAGGGCAGCTCATGGAAGGCTGGAAGGAGCCTGGTAGCTCCATAGATCAAGCACTGGATTGCTAACCACGTGGTTCAAACCCACCAGCTGCTTCTCTGAAGAAAGAAGAGGCTGTTGGCTCCTGTAAAGATTAGCACTCTCGGAAGCCCAATACAGGGTTGTTAGGCATCGGAATCAACTCAATGGCCATGGATGGGTTTAATGGAAGGCTGCGGTGAGCATTTGCTTTGACTCTGAGCTTCCAAGGAGAGGGGCGGGAGCTGACGTGTGGAGATGGGGACCCTGCAGCCCAGGTCACCCAGGCCAAGCCACCTGGAAGAGCAAAGTGCGGCCAGGGTGGGGCTCTAACTGCAGCTCTGGGCACCTGGCCAGAGTCTGTCCTGGGTGTGGGTGGCAGGTGTGGGTGAGGCCTTAACTCTGCCCTGCCGTGGGGCACAAGAGCCAGAAATGGCCCTTGAGGCTGTGCCTGTCTGGGAATAGTACCTGGGAATAGCTTGTGTAGGACCTCTGCAGTGGCCACAGGTGAAGGCTGTGGACCTGGGAGCCAGGTTGCTTGGTTTACTTCCATCCTTGCTACTCACTCACTGTGTGATGTTGGGCAAGTCACTCAGCCTCTCTGGGCTTCTGTTTGCAGGCTTATTGAGTATGCAATAGTGACTACTTGTGGGTGAGAGAAAAATGAGTGACTATGGGTACCGAACTCAGCAGCCGCTCCTCGGAACCCCAATACAGGGTCGCTATGAGTTGGAACTGACTCTACAGCACTTAACAACAACAACATGGGTACCAAATGAGACTCTTCTGATGGAGGAGGCTGCCATGGTTATGTTAATTTGGGGTGTGGGACTCAGGATACATCTGAGTCCTCTAAGGGGTTTTCCCTGCCCTACCCAAGGGGAAGACAGAGAGAGGCATTTCACATGGCCAGCAGAGATAGAGCCACTGGGGTGGGGGAGGGCGTCTAATTTCTCTCCCCGGAAACCCCTGACCACCAACTTCCTCTTTTCAGGAAAAGCCCAGTGGGGGTGGGGTGGGGACCATCACTTCCCCTGGTCTGTGTATGACCTTGGTCAAGTCACTTCCTGTCTAGGAGCTGTAGTAGCCTCATTGGAGGAGGGGAGGGCTAAACCCTCTTATCCCCCAGAGAGACTGGTGGAGGATCTAGAGGGAGGCAGCTGTGTGGGACGCCTGCTCCGATAGTGTCCGAGTTTTTATTACATGTCCGGTGCTCTACTTGCCCAACTCGGGTGCCCCACCCCATAGCCCTGAGAGACGGGGCTTGTCGCTTCCCCAGTCTATAGACAAGGAAGACAGCTTCCTAGTAGAAACGCCATTGTCTGAGTCACAATGGAGTAGGTGGTTCCATGGATTTTGATCACGTTGACGTCTGAGGCTGAGTAAGAAGCCCTGGGAACACTGTGGGTTAAATAAAGGGCTGCTAACAGCAAGTTCATCAGTAGTTCAAACCCACCAGCCACTCTGCCACAGAAAGATGTGGCCAAGCGGCTTCTGTAAAACAGCCTCAGAAACTTTAGGGTGCAGTTCTCCTCTGTCCTATAGGGGTCGCTGTGAGGTAGAACCAACCTGACATGCTTTTTTGAGGCCAAGTCTGATGGTACTTACTCCAGAGACCCTCCCTGATCCCCCGTTGCCTCGCGTTGCCTCGCGTTCTGGACTGTGAGCTCCAACGCTGTTTCACCCCTATGTCTGTGGAATGGCAGGTCAGCGCCCTGCCCTGGGTAGCTGAGGACTGGACACAAGTGACTTCCCTGGGGGCAGAGGATGTGTGGAGTGACCTGGAGTCTGGCCGTGCCTTGCTACAGCGTGACACCCTTCCCCTCCCTCAGCTCAGCTCCTCCTGCCCCCAAGCACCCTGGTAGAGAGGGGAAACTGAGGGCCCAAGAGAGTGGTTGGCTGGTCAGGAGTACTGCCCAGGGCTCCTACCCCCACCCTCCTCCTCCTTCCAGCCTCATTCTGTCCTTATCATCTGCTTTTCTCTCTGCAGCTGCCTGCCTCTCTGGGCCTCTCTGTCCATTGGCCTGTGTGTTTCTACTCATCTCTGCGTCTTTGAATCTGTCTCTCTCTCCATTTTTGACTGTAGGGCTGTCTTACCTCTCTCCGTGTCTGTCTCTCCACTCTCTCTCAGTTTGCCTGCTGGTCTTTTGTACCTCTTTGTGTCTCTTTTCCTCACACTGTCTTAATCCCTTTGAATCTCCCAAAGGTGCAGGAAGCCTCATGTCACTCCTTGGCTAACTGACCCCTCTCCTCCTCTTCCTACTTGTTGGCAGTGAGACAGTCGTCTGCTCCAGCCGGGCCACTGTGATGCTTTATGATGACAGCAACAAGCGGTGGCTGCCTGCTGGTACAGGCCCCCAAGCCTTCAGCCGGGTCCAGATCTACCACAACCCCACTACCAACTCTTTCCGGGTCGTTGGCCGGAAGATGCAGCCAGACCAGCAGGTAAAGTTTCCTTTTCCTCCATGCTGAACCTGCTTACCTGACCTTGCCAACTGCCACCTCTCACCCACCCTCCCCTCCTGCCAGGTGGTCATCAACTGTGCCATCGTCCGAGGTGTCAAGTATAATCAGGCCACCCCCAACTTTCATCAGTGGCGCGACGCCCGCCAAGTCTGGGGCCTCAACTTTGGAAGCAAGGAGGATGCAGCACAGTTTGCCACAGGCATGGCCAGCGCCCTAGAGGCACTGGAAGGTCAGAAACAGCGGTGGGCATGGGGTGGGCAGAGGGGACCATTGGAGCCCTGCTGTGTGACCTGGGACCGCTGCTTCAGTTTACCAAAACTGTTGGCCACTGAGCAGATTCCAACTTATGGCAAATCCATATGACAAAGTAGAACTAGCTCCATAGGGGTTTGGGGCTAGAATCTTTACTGTAAAAGACTGGCAGGCCTGCTTTCCCACTGGTGGCTTCCTCTGGATGGGTTCAAACTGCCAACCTTTCTGTTAGTAATTGAGCAGAAACCATGGCACCCCCTAAGGACCTCAGTTTACTCATCTGTAAAATGGAGCTCATTCAGTGACTCATTGTTACCTTGCAAAGTTATTACAAGAATTTAATGAACTCATGTATGCCCCCATGCATGTTGTTGTTAAGTGCTGTTAAGTCGGTTCTGACCCATAGCGACCCTGCATAGGGTTTCTAAGGAATGACCGATGAGCTTGAATTGCCAACCTTGCGGGCCAAACCCACTTTGCCGTCCAGTGCATTAACCCACGCACCACAATAAAATATACAAATTCTTAGGGTATATATAGCTCCTTTGAAGCCAGGATGGCGAGACTTCTGCTGTACTTTGGACTTGTTATCGGGAGGGACTGGTCCCTGGAAAAGGACATTATACTTGGTAAATTGGAGGGTCAGTGAAGGAGAGGAAGACCCTCAACGAGATGGGCTCAAACAGGAAACACTGAGGTTGATGTGTGTTGTGTTTTGTGCTGTTATGTGTAGGGTTGCTATGAGTTGTAATCAACTTGATGATTGTGCCTAACAACCATCACAGCAAAGCTCAGTGAACTTTTACACATGCATGTTCCTGTGACCACCTCCCAGGTCAAATTCTAGAACGTTCTCAGGCCTCAGAGGTCTCCTTGTGCCCCTTCCCGAGGTTACCCAACCCCAGGTAACCCCTATGTGTCTTTTCATCAATTAGTTTTCAGGCATTGTGATTTAAAAAAATATGTATCTGTCCAGTTGGTATTTACCGAGTAGCACGAATATCTTGTGCAAACATTGGATCTGGTTAAGGAGTCTGGGGTGGGGCCCCGGGGCTCTGCATTTCTAACAGGCATCCTTAGGTTGCTAACACAGCTAGCTGCTGACAGTACTTTGAATCGAAAGGCTTTGCTGTGCGTCCAAGGAGCCCTAGTGGTACAATGGTCAGGTGCTCAAGCTGCTAACTAGAAGGTCAGTTTGAGCCCACCGACCGCTCTGTGGGAGAGAGCTGCAGCTGTCTCTTCCTATGGGGTTGTCCCACTCTGTCACGTGGGGTTATAGGAGTCGGAAGCAACTCAACAGCAACAGCTTCGGTTTGGCCGTGTGTCTAGAGTCTGGAATCACTGCTGTAGGAAAGGGCCGAGGTGTTTGTTTCATTGGGGAGCTTCAGAGCTAGCTTGCTTGTCTTGGGGGGCTCCCAGAGAAATACCAGAATCATGGGAGCCCAAGGGACTAGGGTGTGTTACCTGCTGAGCATCAGTAACTATTTAAGAGCCAGGATGTTGGAGTCAACCTGAACTTGAGTCTTGTTCCTGTGAACCCCTGGATATGCTGCTCTGGGCATGTGACTGCCCTCTGGGCCTTAGTTTCCTCACCTGCCAACTTGGACATCTAAGCAGTTCCCACCTCAGAGCAGCTCATCAAGAGTTGCTGAATGGGGACCCTTATCCCAGCTGGCACCCACACCTTAGTCCTGAGTCGGGAAAAAGGAAGTGAGCGTCTCTGAGCAGGATTCCCAGGAATCTGAGGCGGGAAAGTGCCAAGGGATGGGCAGGGCAGGGTGGCATTCAGCTTGCCTCATCTCCCTCACTTTTCTCCTTTCACCTGCAGGAGGTGGGCCTCCTCCACCCTCGGCACCTCCCACCTGGTCAGCCCAGAACGGCCCCTCCCCGGAGGAGGTGGAGCAGCAGAAAAGGTTGGACCCATCCCTGGGTGGGGAACCTTCCCCTGCCCAAAGTTTTAGGATGTTCCAGAACCCAAAAGTGCCAAACTGGCCAACTTTCTGTTTCCAGAATGTTCCGACTCCTTGAAGACTTAGAAATGACCATCTTTCAGAAAGCCCCAACCCTTGGAGTTACAGAAGCACTTTGCCGCTAGTAGTCCAGAAATTCCTGATACTCAGTTACAAATCTGCCCAGACCCCAAATCTCAGCCCCCGACCCCCGGGTGCCTCGAATCCAGAATCTGGTTGTTAAAAGGACCTTGGTCTTTTGACATTGTTATTGGTAATGTGATGCCTACAATGTTAGCATCTGGGTTTATAGCCTCTGCCCCTCATATACCACCCCACCTGCCCCCGCCCCTGTTCCTTTCTCCACCTCCTTCCTGGGACCTGGGGAAGGAAGGCGGAGGTGGCATTGGTGCTGGGTGTGTTCGGAGCCAGCCTCTCCCAATCCCAGGCTGGTGGAGACCTAGGAGTGAAACAGGGGGACGTCAGTGGCCATCCTCGGGCCCCTAACTGACCATTGGTCTGTTGTCTTTTCCTCAGGCAGCTACCGGGCCAGCCAGAGCACGTGGAGCGAGAGCGCAGGGTCTCCAATGCAGGTACTGTCTGAATGGCCCTCAGAGTTAGGGACCTCCCTGGAGGGGAGAGGGCAGGCCAGCAGGACACCAGGCCCTGAGGCTTGTCTCTCCCCATAAACACCTGCTTTCTCTGTGTGTGTGTTTCAGGAGGTCCGCCTGCTCCCCCAGCTGGGGGGCCACCCCCACCTCCAGGACCACCTCCGCCTCCGGGCCCCCCTCCACCTCCGGGTCTGCCTCCCTCTGGGGTCTCAGCGGCAGGGCCTGGAGCAGGGGGAGGCCCACCCCCAGCGCCCCCTCTCCCCACAGCACAGGGCCCTAGTGGTGGGGGCACCGGAACCCCTGGACTGGCTGCAGCCATAGCCGGAGCCAAACTCAGGAAAGTCAGCAAGGTGAGGGTCTGGGAGCACAGGGGCTGGTGAGCTGAGCTCTGATGGAAAAATGGGGGCGCCAACCAGGAGGCCACTCCAGGAAGCCCTTGCCCCTTTTTAATTTCTCCAGCAGGAGGAGTCCTCAGGGGGGCCCTTGGCCCCCAAAGCTGAGAGTGGGAGAAGCACAGGTGGAGGGCTCATGGAAGAGATGAATGCCATGTTGGCCCGGAGGTAAGCCCGACACCCCGCCCAGACCCTTCAGCTCCAGGGGGCTCGAAGAATGGCAGTCAGCCAGCCCATCTGAAGCCATATTACCAGGAGATGTTGCTGAAACACATTGCTGAAAATTCTAGTTCAGTAGAACCCTGGTGTAGGATAAACACTGGACTACTAACCATAAGGTTGGCAGTTCAAACCTACCCGCTGCTACTTGGAAACTCTATCCAGGGTTTCTGTGAGTCGGAACCAACTTGACAACATGCAACAGTAACAACATAGAGTCGGGCGGGAGGGGCCAGAATCCTGTTTTGTTTCTGGTCGTTAGTTAAATAGCCAATCTTGGTGGTGCTGTAGGATAAGCATTGGACTGCTAACCACAGGGTTATGGTTCAAACCCACCAACGGCTCCACAGGAGAAAGATAAGACTGTCTGCTTCTATAAAGATTTACAGTCTTGGAAACCCCACAGAGGGTTGTTGTTTAGTGTCGTCAACTTGGTTCCGACTCATAGCGACCCCGTGTAGGGTTTCTAAGGAGTGGCTGGTAAGTTTAAACTGCCTGCTGACCTGGGGTTCAAACTGATCTTGCGGTCCCGTGCTGTCTCCTGAGTGCTACAACACCAGGACTCCATCGGATTGTTAGGGAGTCGGAATAGACTCGATGGCAGCGGGCAGTGATTGGATCAATGGTTAAGCGCTCAGCTGTTAACTGAAAGGTCGGGAGAAGAGACCTGATGGTCTGGTCCCTTGAGTCCCCAAACTCATTGCTGACAACTCATGTGACCCTATAGGACAGGCTGTAAATCTTTACAGAAGCGGACTGCCACATCTTTCTCCCAAAGAGAAACACCTAGAAAAACACCATCAATCCCACCCTGTTGTAAGGATCGCTGTTGAGATGGGATCAGCCTGACAGCACACCGTAGTTATTCTTGAGACAACTCGTAGGGACCCAGGTATCCAGAATAGAGCTGTTCCACAGGTTTGTCAAGACTGAAACCAACGGCGGGCAGTCAAACACAACCTTCTGTTCCCTCATGGAATCGTGTTTCGTTTCCTTTGGGGAAAATTCCCCTTTTGATAGCCAGGTTTGGGATGTAATGATGGAGATGGTCATTTCCTGAACTGGCTCAGGTTTATAACTGCCAAGGTAGCTTCTAGAATGTTCTAAACCCAAATGTTCTAGAGTGAGAACCTTGATAGAGCTTATCCCAGAATTCTGCAAACACCATTTCTAGAATCCCAGCATTCTACCTTAGACTTTTGGGATTCCCAAACATGAGAATGATAGGACAGCACCCCATTTGACTCTGAAAACAAAGGTCTCCTTAGCCTTCAGGAATGCCAGAACTCTAGACTCCAGAGTCCAAGTTTCTAGAACAATGGAATTGGGTGCTGGAGGAGGATTTGAAACCATCTATTTTTACCTTGCCCTCCTGCAGAAGGAAAGCCACACTGGTTGGGGAGAAACCTCCCAAGGAAGAATCTGCCAATGTAAGTTAGGGCTGTGTTATAGGAGAAGGGATACTGGGGAGGTGGGTGTGATAGGCAAGGGTTAGGATTGAACCTGAATAGAGTATGCCCAGGGAGTTGCTCCTGACAGTTTTATTTCCCACCAGCAGGAGGAGCAAGAGGCCAGAATCCCAGCCCAGACTGGTGAGTGAGAGCCCAGTCTGGCCACTGGAACTATATAAATCCCAGGATCCCCTAAGGAAGGGTTTGTGCAAAGCCTACTGGGGATTGTATTCTCCAGAGATGGTCCTTTGACTGGAGGCTGATTAGGGAGGCAGAGGGGGTCACTCAATTGTCCCTGATCTTTCTAATTTGTTGTCTGTGTCCCAGAACCTGTGCGAAGACCCTGGGAGAAGAACAGTACAACTTTGCCAAGGTGGGCAACTAATATCAGGGCCTCATTCCTTTCCCTCATCTTTAAAAAAGAAAAAACTTGCCAAACTGATAGGGAAGAACAAAATATGCATGGAATCGGGGCGGGGGGTGGTAAGGCCTTCTCTCTAACCTCATTTGTTTTGTTGTTTCACCCCAATTTTCAGGATGAAGTCGTCTTCTTCGGTGACCACCTCTGAGGCCCACCCCTCTACGCCCAGCTCTGGTGATGAGTCAGACCTGGAAAAAGTGAAGCAGGTAACAAAGGGGAGGGGGAAAAAATGGGGAATAAAAAGGGGTCACACACAGTAAGAGTTAAGATTTGAGTTTCCTCTCTGCCCCTGACCTGTTTTCCTGTCTGAGAAATGGAGAGATTGTTAGGTCAGGGATAACAGGCACCACTACCTTCTTTACCTGTGCCTGTGGTAGACCTTACTAATCCATCACCGAACTCATTGCTGATAAGTATCCAGAATTCTTTTCTAGCACACAGCCCCAGATAGATAATCCACCACGGATAGAGTTGGCAGGAGCCTAGAATGTATTTTTGCCAGCCCTGGTACTGGATGTTGTCCAGTACTTTTCTTCTGGCTTCAAGGATCCAAAATTCTTCCCTAAAATTCTCCAGTCATTCTATGACCTTGTCAGTGATTGGCAGGAGTGTAGAGAAGGGGACGGTGGGGAATCTTGAACCTCCTTCCTCTGGTCCTTCAGTCAGTGAAAACCTGGGATTTATTTCTGCTGTTCCTCAAGCCCCCTTCCCCCTGACCGGCTGTACCCCTGTATTTTTAGGAGCTACTGGAAGAGGTGAGAAAGGAACTGCAAAAAGTGAAAGAGGAAATCATTGAAGGTGAGGTTCTTTTGTTTGTTTGTTTTAATGTTTATTTGAGAGGGATAAATCCCTTGGGAAAAAAACCAAATCCATTGCCCTCAAGTGGATTTCCGAGACTAAATCTCTATGGGAGCAGTCACCCTCATTTGTCTCCTGAGGAGCTGATGGTGGATTTGAACTGTCAACCTGTGATTAGCAGTCCAGTGCTTACCCTATAGTTCTACCAGGGCTCCTTGTGCCTTGGAAAGAACCCTATTTGGGAAGGGGACGGGACAGGACAGGACGGGAGGGGTGGGAGGTTCTGTGCCTAACCTCTGGCTCTTGTTGTCCTTCTAGCCTTTGTCCAGGAGCTGAGGAAGCGGGGGTCCCCCTGACCACAGGGACCCAGAAGATCCTGCTTCTCTCCGCACACCCCGCCTGTCACCCAGCTTTTCCCTGCCTCTATTTGACTTGGAATTGGCAGAAGACTACACAGGAATGCGTCTTCCCCACTCCCCTTCCTGCTTGGAAAACTCCAAGGGGGTGTGGCTTCCCTGGCGCCATGCTCACACCCATACTGGCTGCTGATTGGCTGGGGAGGCTCCCACCCCTTTACTCCCTTTGGTCCTTCCCCTCTGCCATCCCCTCAGGGCTGGTTCCTCCATTGGGGATGTACCAATTCGCCCCATAGTCGGGGAAGGAAGAAGGGAATTACACATTCCCTGGTTCTAGATTCACTTTATCGCTTAATGCCTTCGAATTTTTGTTTTTTAAAGAAAATAAATATATATATATA